CCACAACGCCCGGCTATTTTTTGGTTGCAGCCGTCATTGTTGTTTGGCAGGTCCGGGCTGGGGATTCGAACCCACCACCGTAGGTGTACGTGGTTGGCGCCTTAGCCGGTTGAGCTGTAGGTGCCGAGCCGCCAGGCTCTCTTCATCCCTTATTCCACCTACCTACCATGACATCCTTGGTAGAGCTGCACTGCCAAAGTTAGCTCGTGGAGTTGATAGGAACATACCATTTAGAACCCTGTTCTAGGATACAGTAAGTGTTCAGAGCAATAGGATGTAATCCCTGTACCTTAATATGACATATCTTTTTCTTACCCCTACCAACCTCTAATTTGCCACACCTACCTTTTCCTTTTTATGTTCCAGTAATACCAAACTATACCTCTCTGTATGTAACATTCTGTCTGATGCTTTAGCTTTGGCAATATTCTTTCCTTTATTCTTTTAGTTATTTTCTTCCCAATTTATCCTTCATAAACCTTTTTTTTTTTTTGCAGTTTTTGGCTGGGGCTGGGTTTGAACCTGCCACCTATGGATGCCGGTGCCCTATTCCTTTGAGCCACAGGTGCCGCCCCTCCCCTTTTATTTTTTTTTTTGAGACAGAATCTTGTCGCCCTCAGTAGAGTGTTGTGGTGTCATAGCTGACAGCAACCTCAGACTCCTGGGCTCAAGCAATTCTCATGCTTCAGCCTCCCAAGTAGCCGGGACTACAGGCACCCGCCGCAATGCCTGGCTGTTTTTGTTGTTGTTGTTTAGCAGGTCCAGACCAGGTTTGAACCTACCAGCCCCGTGCATGTGTCCTGCTCCCTAACCACTGAGCTATGGATGCTGAACCTGATATCGTTTCTTGACCTCCTCTGTACTTTGCTATCATGTAAATACTTCCACTGTTGTGCGTATTAGACTATACTGGATTTATTTTATATTTGTATTCTTTTCCAAATTTATTATGTCCTGGAGGACAGATAGTGTTTGTCAAGTATCTACATCCTGGTAAACAGGCATGGTGCTTACATATGGTGCAGATTCAGTAAATGATGAACAAAATTGAAGCTGGTTTTGTAAGATTCTTCAACAGATGTACTCTGTCCGAAGCCATTCTTTCATTGAACCTTCATCATAGATTCTTTGTAGCACAGATTCTCATTTCTTGTTTTCTTGAGAACGTAATGTTCTTTTCATGAAGAGATACATGAACAAAGAGGGTCTTGTGGGCTAGGCATTGGGACATGAAAAAATAATTCATATTTTCTCACATGAGAGATAGCCAAGAGGATGTAAATAAAGACAGAGCAAAGAAGGTTACCATACTTTCTCAAAGAAATAGGAGCAAAAGATAATCCTCTATGTAACCCTGGAGGTTTGAGTTACATAGGGTTAGGAGGTTACCTAAATACTCAACAGTATTTAGATCATGAAAGTTGTAAGATCCTGAAAGATGTCCTCATACTCTGCAAGGCTCAGATCATATTTTTCTTCTGTCAGGTGCTGCAGAGCTTTAAGATAATGGACTATAGCCTCTTGATGTCAATCCACAACATTGATCATGCACAACGAGAGGCATTAAACAGTGAAACACAATACTTGGTTGACACTCGCCGACCAGCTCCCCAAAAGGCTCTCTATTCTACAGCCATGGAATCCATCCAGGGCGAGGCTCGAAGAGGTGGCACCATGGAGACTGATGACCAGTAAGTTGACTCAGGGACACCTAGAAGTAGAACATAGGCTCGTAGCCCTTTTTCTTGAGGAAGGGACCCTACTTCTAGAAAGTAGTTACATTGATTCAGCATTTTTGTCGCAACATTAATGCTTACTAAACTGTAGAACATGCATGCTTTCTTTCTTTCTTTCTTTCTTTTTTTTTTTTTTTTT